GGGACCCCTCCTCTTCCCCCTCCCGACCTCCCAGATTCCTCCTCCTCTTCTTCCTCCGCCTCCTCTCCTTCCTCGCTTGGTAGTGCCCCCAGGGGGAGTGGCGCTGCACTTGGTGATTCGAGGTGTGCAAGACAGTCACAGCAGCAGTAACAGCACGAGCGGCACTTCCACCGTTACCACCACCAGTGGTATTGCCACCGCCACAAGCAGCGTAGCTGCCAGCGGCAGTGAGAGCAGTAGCATCGGCGCCACCAGCGCCACTGTTGCTGCGAGTATGGGAGGAGGAGGAGCAGGAGAGGGAGCGGGAGTGAAGGCGCGGCGGTAAAGCGAGTGGACGTGGCGTCGGAAGCTGGAGGAGGAGCAGGAGCGGGGAGCACGGCTATCGACCTTGCGTCTGTCATGCCTACCCGCAGTGAGTCAGAGAGGCAGAAATGAAATGGTGGCAGGGTCACAGGTGTGTCACAGGTATAGTTGGCTGAAAGCATGCGCTGCACACATGCTCAACTCCCACTCAAGTGCATCATCGATTTCTCATTGCACGTCTACTCACAATCCCACTTCCCGTTCACCTCCTCCCTCCCTTCCGCCCCACTCCCCATCCCTGTCACTGCCCTGCAGCCGACCCCTCCCTCTCAGTCCTCCTCCCAATGGCTCTCCAACACCCAAGACTCACTCATTCCCCCTCCCTTCCCCATCCCCTCCTCCCCCCCTGCCCGCCCTTCCCCCCACTCCCCATCCCTGTCACTGCCCTGCAGCCGACCCCTCCCCACTGAAGTCATTCTCCCACTGGCCGCTCTCCAGCGCGCACCCGCTCATCACAGCCGGCTCAGCTCGCCGCAATTCATCCTCCCTCTCCCTCACCTCACTCTCCGACTTCAATTCTGCCTCCCTCGCGCTGCCCGCCCCCTTCGCCCTGCTCGCCCCCGCCACGCCCGCCTCCCCTGCCGCCCCTTCTCCTTCTCCACCTCCTTCACCTTCCGCATCTCCTCCCCCAATGCCGCCGGGCTGGGCGGCGAGGGCTTGGCGTTTGTGATGCTGCCAACGCCTACGCTTGGCCTGCAGGGGCCCTCCCTGGGCTATGGCCGTGTGCTGCTGCCCCCGGGGAGTACAGCTGGTGCTGATAATTCCAGTTCCAGCAGTGGCGTGTCATCTCAGGCATGTGTTTCTAAAGAACAGCTCCTTTCTCTCAATTCGGTGGGGATAGGCCGGGAGGGCATAGACTTTGTGATGATACCATTGCCCTCGTTCGGCCTACCACGAGGAGGTATGCTCATCAGTTTCATCTCTTTCTTCTCGCTCGCCTCCCGTGTTTCGTCTTCCTTCTCTTGCCTTCCGTCTTCCTTGTTCATTGTCTGCTGCTCTTCCTCTGCATGTCTTGCTCTCTTTTGCTGCTGCTTTGCGTTTTTGCGGTTCTCTTTATCTGCTGCTCCCCTTTGCTGCTCCCCCTCCATGCACAGCAGCACAGGAGCCTCGCGGTGGAGTACGACACATCTAAATCTCTCAAGCACTTCTCCCTCCCCTCCCTCTACCATCCACAGCAGCACAGGAGCCTGGCAGTGGAGTTTGACACATCGGCCTCCCTGGAGTTCTGGGACCGCCCCGACCACCACGTGGGGGTGAACCTGCACGGCAGCATGCTCTCTCTCGCCTCTGCCCCGTGCACCCCCTCGGCATTCCCGCCCTCAACGCCGGCCAGACCCTCCTCGCCACCATCCACTACAACGCCTCCTCCTCCCACCTCACTGTCTACCTCTCCCCCGCCCCCGCTCCTTCCTCTTCCCCCCCTCCCTCACCCCCGCTCTCCTCTCGCTCCACTTCCTCCTCCGCCTCCTCCCCCTCTTCCCCCTCTCTCCCGCGCTCGGCCGGGCTCACCACATTCCCGAACACCTGCTCTAAACGTTCTCCTCGCTTCCCTCACTTCCCTGGTTTCAATCGCTGCCCTCGCCCCTCCCCCTCCTCTCCGTCCGCCTCCGCCTCCCCCCCTCTCCCACGCTCAGCTGTCCTCTCCATGTTCCTGGACACCTGCGAGTGGCTCGGCGGGAACGATCCGGATGCAGTTTCGCCCCCCCCGCCGCTGTTGGTGGGATTCACAGCGGCCACGGGCAAGGGGACGGAGCAGGCTCAGGCACATGAGGTGCTGGGGTGGGATTTCCAAGTGGGGGAGGGTGAGTGATTTGTTTGAGAGTGAGCTTAACTTTGGTGTATAGACACATAGTGTGCGAACTCTTGAGTGACCCTAACAAGTTAGAACACAGCGGCCACGGGCAAGGGGGCGGAGCAGGCTCAGGCGCACGAGGTGCGGGGGTGGGATTTTGAAATCGGAGAGGGTGAGTATAGTTCACTTGCCGTGCCCTTGCATTACTTGATCACCTGTGAATAGCTCGACACGTGTGAGGAGCTTGGGAGGATGAGTTGAGTTCAGTTGCCTCCCCACTGCCTGATGTAGGCCTGGTGTAGGCCTGGTGTAGGCCTGGCCTGGTGTAAGCCTGGTGTAAGCCTGGTGTAGGCCTGGTGTAGGCCTGGTGTAGGCCTGGTGTAAGCCTGGTGTAGGCCTGGTGTAGGCCTGGTGTAGGCCTGGTGTAAGCCTGGTGTAGGCCTGGTGTAGGCCTGGTGTAAGCCTGGTGTAGGCCTGGTGTAGGCCTGGTGTAAGCCTGGTGTAGGCCTGGTGTAGGCCTGGTGTAAGCCTGGTGTAGGCCTGGTGTAGGCCTGGTGTAAGCCTGGTGTAAGCCTGGTGTAGGCCTGGTGTAGGCCTGGTGTAAGCCTGGTGTAGGCCTGGTGTAAGCCTGGTGTAGGCCTGGTGTAGGCCTGGTGTAAGCCTGGTGTAGGCCTGGTGTAGGCCTGGTGTAAGCCTGGTGTAGGCCTGGTGTAGGCCTGGTGTAAGCCTGGTGTAGGCCTGGTGTAGGCCTGGTGTAAGCCTGGTGTAGGCCTGGTGTAGGCCTGGTGTAAGCCTGGTGTAGGCCTGGTGTAAGCCTGGTGTAGGCCTGGTGTAGGCCTGGTGTAAGCCTGGTGTAAGCCTGGTGTAAGCCTGGTGTAAGCCTGGTGTAGGCCTGGTGTAATTCTGATGAAGGCCTGATGTTGGCCTCGGGTGTGTGGGATTTCTTGCCTGCAGCACTGGTTGGCAGGCAAAGGGAGGGAGGGACCGGGCGCACACGTGAATGGTTTCCTTATTATGTGCTTGTTTACACAGTTACATGGTTACACGGTTACACGAGTACACCCCATGATCCCCATGGTGCGGGCTAAGAGGCACGCACACACCCCACGACTCGTGGTGTGATTGTTGCCCTCACGCAGTGCACTCCTTCAGCTGACCCGAACCCTCCCCCCTCCCCACCCCACCCCTGCCCCCCCCTGTCCTCTCCCCTTCCCCCGTCGCACATATCATGCCCTTCCCCCGTCACACATATTACGCACTCCCCCAGCCGCACATTCCATGCCCTTCCCCCGTCGCACATATCATGCCCTTCCCCCGTCGCACATATCATGCCCTTCCCCCGTCGCACATATCATGCCCTTCCCCGTCGCACATATCATGCCTTCCCCCGTCGCACATATCATGCCCTTCCCCCGTCGCACATATCATGCCCTTCCCCCGTCGCACATATCATGCCCTTCCCCGGTCGCACATATCATGCCCTTCCCCCGTCGCACATATCATGCCCTTCCCCCGTCGCACATATCATGCCCTTCCCCCGTCGCACATATCATGCCCTTCCCCCGTCGCACATATCATGCCCTTCCCCCGTCGCACATATCATGCCCTTCCCCCGTCGCACATATCATGCCCTTCCCCGTCGCACATATCATGCCCTTCCCCCGTCGCACATATCATGCCCTTCCCCCGTCGCACATATCATGCCCTTCCCCGTCGCACATATCATGCCCTTCCCCCGTCGCACATATCATGCCCTTCCCCGTCGCACATATCATGCCCTTCCCCCGTCGCACATATCATGCCCTTTCCCCCCGTCGCACATATCATGCCCTTCCCCCGTCGCACATATCATGCCCTTCCCCCGTCGCACATATCATGCCCTTCCCCGTCGCACATATCATGCCCTTCCCCCGTCGCACATATCATGCCCTTCCCCCGTCGCACATATCATGCCCTTCCCCGTCGCACATATCATGCCCTTCCCCCGTCGCACATATCATGCCCTTCCCTCGTCGCACAAATCATGCCAACCCCATCATGCCAGAATGAATTCGCTGCCATAGTGAGTGAAGCTCCAAGAAACCTACCTCCCATAGTCCCCAGTGTCCCACAGTCCACACCCTTACCCTTCCCTCCCCCCCCTTCCCCTCGCCCCTCCACCATGCCAGCCCCAGAAGCACAGAATACCCAGAACCTACCTCCCATAGTCCCAGTGTCCCACAGTCCACACCCTTACCCTTCCCTCCCCCCCTTGCCCTCACCCTCCACCATGCCAGCCCCAGAAGCACAGAATACCCAGAACCTACCTCCCATAGTCCCCAGTGTCTCACAGTCCACACCCTTACCCTTCCCTCCCCCCCTTGCCCTCGCCCCTCCACCATGCCAGCCCCAGAAGCACAGAATACCCAGAACCTACCTCCCATAGTCCCCAGTGTCCCACAGTCCACACCCTTACCCTTCCCTCCCCCCCCTTGCCCTCGCCCCTCCACCATGCCAGCCCCAGAAGCACAGAATACCCAGAACATACCTCCCATAGTCCCACTGTCCCACCCACCCACGGTCCACTGTTGAGGCGACTCAAAAGGAACCTACCTTCCTCCCACAGTCCCACGGTCTACACCCTAGCCTAAGGTTGAGAGCATTTCTTCATGCCTACCCTAACCCTCTCGCCGCCCTGCCCTGCCTGCCCTCACCCACATTCCATTCCATGCCAAACCCAGCAGCGGAGGATCCGCTTCCGTTTTGGGCAGCAGACTCGTTCTCCTTCCCCTACATCACGCCAGCCACTCCCCTGCTGACACGTGGCAGCACCAGAAAAACGCTTCTTCGCCGCAGATCTCTCTGTCGCTGCTGACGTGGAATCATCCAGTGGCCAATCGGACGATCCCGCCCCGGAGCCATCTCCTTTCCTCGCCGTCTCCCCTCCTCTACTCTTCCTCCTCCCCTCCCTTCCCACCTCCTCCTCCTCCTCCTCGTCGTCCTCGTAGCTCCCCCATTCCTCTCCTTCCTCCCCCCTCCCCAACCCACAGCAACCGAACCCCCAACCTGCATGGCTCGCTCTTTCACCTTCACATACGGCTTTTCCCTAAATGTATCTGCTTCCCATGGGCTCGCGTTCGTTATAAGCACTCATGCGACCCTGGGCCTAGGCGGGTTTTATATGGGGTATGGCCGGGACCCATCCTTGAGACTCGCTAATGGCAGCTGGCCGGACGGCGCGCGGAGTGTAGCTGTGTTTTGGCACCCGGATATGGACGATGTATATACTATACACTTTGGCGTTAACACTGACTTCAACATGACTTCGATTTTTACGGGGAAGTTGTCAACTGTCGTGGAGCCTGAGGAGGTGTTGCAGATGAGGGTTGACTATAACGGGAGGAACAAGGAGATGCTGATCAGATGGTACCAACCCCCTGTTCTAGTAGGCAGCTTGAACGTCTCTCTTGACCTCTGTGCTGCTCTCACTGGGCCCTCTGCTGCCAGTGGAAGCAGCAGTGGCGGCGGTGGCGGCGGCAATGGTAGTGGCAGTGGCAGCGGCAGCAGCGGCAGCAGAGCAGCACCACTACCCACCACCACCACCACAAAGTGGCAGCAAAAGCAACAGCAGCAGCAGCAGCAGCAGCAGCAGCAGCAGTGACAGCAGTGCAACGGACCTGTCGTCACCATCCTTTGGGCAGCTGGTCGTTGGGTTTCACCAGCGCTGCTCTCCCTCCCCCCCCTGGCCGCCTGCCTTCCCCCGTCGCCCTCTCCTCCTGGACCTTCCGATTCACAGGTAGGGGGGAGGGGAAGTGGGCGAGATGGGAGGTAGGAAAGAGAGAAGGGCTAGTGAGCCACGTGCCCTGCCTTCCCCCGTCGCCCTCTCCTCCTGGACCTTCCGATTCACAAGGTAGGCCCCTTGGCAACCCCACGTATCCCCTTGCATTCCCGCGTATCCCCCTTGCAACCCACGTATCCCCTTGCATTCCCACGTATCCACTTGCAACCCCACTTATTTCCTTCAACCCCACGTATCCCCTTGCACCAAGGCACCTGCCCCATGGGATTCGTTTACCTTGTGTATCACACCTTCTCTCTCAAATATTCCTTGTTCTCGTTTTCCCTCCCCCCCAACCAACACCGACCCCTGCAAGGGTTCTCCGGTGCTGCCCTGTGGCACGGGTGCATGCACCAAGGCACGTGCCCCGTGGGACCCGTCTATCCTCGTGCCCTCCCTGCAAGTGCACCTTGAGCTCTCCCTCCTTCCAACCCTCCCACCTCCTCCGGCCTGCCTCTGCTTCCCTGGTGAGACGTGGAGTGCGGTAGGCAAGAGGTGGAGTGCGGTAGGCAAGAGGTGGAGTGCGGTAGGCACGAGGTGGGGTGCTGTAGGCAATAGGTGGAGTGCGGTAGGTGAGAGATGGAGTGCAGTAGGTGAGAGGTGGAGTGCAGTAGATGAGAGGTGGAGTGCGGTAGGTGAGAGGCAGAGCGCCAGTGGGTGAGAGGTTGGAGTGTGGTGGGTGAGAGGTGGATGCACTAGGTGCCTTTTGGTTTGTTTGTGGATGATATAGTTTTTTTTCGCATCCACACATCTCTAGATCCACAACAATCTTCAGAAAATGAAAAAGTTTGTACTATTGAATCTTTAATTAACCTACTCTTTTTTTTTTTTTTTTTTTTTTTCTGTTGAAATTTTACAAATGGTTTGCACTCTAATGCGCTATGTCCGCTCCTGCAATACCCTTCTTTCTCGTTTCCCCTCCTTTCCCACCCACCGCCTTTCCCCTTCCCGTGTCTTCCCCTTACTCCTCTTTTCTCGTTCTCCATCTCCCTTTCCGCTTGCCCCCTTGTCCCCCTGTCCATTTTCCCGCTGTCCCCTTTTCCCCTCAACCTCTCACTAGATTCCTTCACATGTCATTAGCTCTTCCACAACCCATGTGTACCCCTGATGTTCCTTCCCTGTTATCAGGGATTTGGATCAATGGCGTGCTGCTGTGCTGCTCACTCACTTGATATAAGTAGAGTTGTGAGACGTCTCAAAA